TCCGTGCTACCAGGGAAAAGACGAGGACGAGAGCAGAGATGGGAGGAAGATAATCGCTTATGGGCTTGCAGGAGGCAGAGACGCCACTTTCGGACATGTAAAGTAACTTAGCTAGTGAGCCCTATTGGCTTTTTTAGTCACCGGGCGTAATAAACTTTTGGTTTGGTAAGCCGTCAGGGCCAACGACGAACTATAGATAATTTTGGCGAACTCTTTGTTTTCTCTTCTTCGATGTTCCGTGCGCAGTTAGGGCTTCTTTCACGTCGGAAAGTGCTCTTCGGCCTGCTCGGCGTTTTGCCACGCAGACAATGGCAACTGCACCGTCTAGACTGCACTTGCGCTGGGGAGGTGGGTGGCAAGTGGACTGACAGTACTCACCTAGGAAAGAGAAGGACCAGCGGATAAACCGTGAAAAAAAAAGGAGGGCGGACCGTACTACTTGTCTCCACCGTGGGCAGGCTACTGGATGGTTCAATATTGGACGAGTAGGAAGCCACGGGCCAGGTTGATCATCGGTGGATGGGATCTGCGTGTCATGGAACAGAGCAAGTAGTCGGCCAGAGCAAGGCAACAGACAAGCTAAAAGCCGCTATCATCCGACGAAGGGAGACAGCAGGGTCGTAAGAAGATAGTGGACGGCAAGGAGAGCAAGCGTAAAGGTGCAGCAATGGTGGCGAGAAAAGCAGAAAAAAAGATTCACCAGTACAATAAAGGTCAAGCGAGAGCCGCCAGCGCAGGGCGAATTGGTGGCGCCCCGAACTACTTGAACAGAGATCTTGCCAAAACGGTCTAGCTCATCTTAGCCTTTTCGCGTGGCCAGGTTGTTAGGCAGGAAGTGGCTTGCCCGCTAGGAAACGGAGGGCCGGAACGACGACCGGAAAGGAGGGTCGGCCCCCGCTAGGCAGCTAGCACGCTAAAGATGGCTGCGGAGACGGTCATACTGTAGCGGAACAGTTGAGTCGTGGTGGGGCCGGGGCAACGGGGAGCGCACACATTCACTGGCTGTGAACTTGTGGCGAAACGTCTTTGATTCTTAGCTGCGCCTTTCTCTTATCTATGATCTATCATGGCATGCGAGATGAGGGTTCATCGAGCTTCTCTTGGCACGCAGAGATAACTAACTGTCTCTGTACTGGTCCCCAACTCGAAGAGTGCGCGAGCCGGAGCAGACACCGCCACTGGTTGAGGTCAAGGGGTTGGGAAAGTCTTGTGTAACTTGGGTTGTAATTGGACAATGAAAGTTGACTGAATGACTCAATGCTTCATTATAAGATCCAGAATCGTGATTCATTGTTTTCTTGTGAAGGACTAAGTATTTTGGTTGAATCAAACACCTCTACATGATACAGTTTGTCCGAGGGGTCTGCCGTGAGTACAATCATATCATTAACGTCGCGAGCCCATGTTAAGCAAGAAGAAAAGAGGAAACATGCTCTAGGCCGGCCGAGCTTAAACTCTCACGGAGAACTCCATACAACGACCTAGTGCTCGCTGTCCTTTCCAATACTGAATGGCCTAGCAACACGGCCGCATCACAGCTCGACCCATTCCACGTTGACGTCAACCCTGCCAGACGCTCCGCTGATTGTCTTCTTCGTGTCCGCCTTAGCCGCAAACGTCTCGCTCCCATTCGCAATCTCGAACGGCATCATAGGATACGACCTTGCACTGTACTTCACACAAAATATCACGTTTCTATAATACGTTTTCTGTCGCGCATCAAAGTACAGAGAAGGGCGAAACATATGTCACACTTTTAGTTAACAAGAATAATAGTGGCAGCCATTTTAGCCTGTGACGTAGCGCCGCTGGATATCCACCAGGTACCCGAGACTCTTTCCTGGGGTAAATGTGTGATGAAACTCAGCCGTTAGTTTGCCATATATGCACCAGTTGTTGCTGTATTACGACAAAATTACCTTTCGGCGATGGAGTAGAAATCTCCTTCCTATCCTGAGCCTTTTTCTGCCTAGCAATACGGCATTCAATCAGTTTCTGCCCATGTAGTCTCATTCTTGTCGAAGGGAAAAAAATGGTACAGGGTACCAGATAACTCTAGCGGCCAGATCAGGATCCACCATTTCTTTAAAAGTGAACTAGCAAAAGAGTGACACTTAAAACGCCTTTCTCTGACTACGCGTCAAGTGTGTGGATGCACGCATATCAGGACAAATTCGTTGGGCCCATCAACCGGGTTCAGAAAGCGGGCGCACAAGCGATTGTCGGGACATTCCTCACGGTCGCGACTGCAGTGGCAGAGGCGGAGGCCAGTCTAGTGAGCGCTGGAGAGAGACTTTGGAAGAGGGTGATTAAAATGTGGTTGGTGACACACTCGTTGCCCGACACCAACCCGTTGCGCCGAGTTAGTCAGGATGCCGCAGCGAAAGCACACCTCTGCGCCCGATGCCGGCGGCGGCGATGCACCACCCCTTCATGAGTAAGATCTCGCCTCGCGCTCCGTTTCCGACTGTCATGCTCAATCTGATTCACGTCGAAAGCAGGACGTATCTGTACCTCGACGGCTACCCGGCCATGTTGGCACGAGGAATGGGCGTCATAGTCGACGCCAAAGCGGGTCTCGCTGTTGTCTCCCGAAAGGTTGTGCCGCATAAAGCGTCTTTCAACTGACTCGTGACATCGTCAGCATGGAAGTTCGTGCCGCCAGCCATCTCAACCACAAGATGATTGTTTTGCGAAACGTCCTGCATGAATCAGCTTCCAAGGCATAGATCGAAGAAACAAAGTCAAGTAAATGACGGGGATTGCTTGTTTGCCGAACAGCGCTCTTGAATTTGGCTTCTGCAAGCTTGTGCAGTCCGCTGATCATATACATGTCGGCAAGACTGACCATGTTTGCGTGGAAGATCATTGGCTCGGAGAAACACGACCGGCCCTCTCCTTGCACATCGCCCTGCTCGTTTGCTTCAGCAGGCCAATCTGCAGAGGTGCCGGTGTACATGTAATCGACCATGCGTCTAACGAGCTCGGCAGGCCACTCTTTGACTTCCAAAACGCCGGAAGCCGCCTCCTAGTTTGGATAAGCGAAGAGCAATGTTCGAACGACGACGGCATACCTTCCATGGGCCGGTGCAAGCGGTCCGAATAACTTGAGACTGTGCGCAGACAACCACTCTATGCACCGCGAAGCGAAACGGACCGGACGCAATTGTTAAATCACAAAAGTCCCCGTCACGATCGCTGCAAAGTGTCAGTGAGGCCAGAAAAGCGCCGACGTTGCCTTACTCTTCAATTTTCTTTAAAACATCAGCAGCGTGAGACATATCAGCGTCCACCTCGCGCAAATTTCTGCTTGTGCGGCTGCCAAAAGCGTAGTTGAGTGCTGGTTCAGCCGATGCGAAGTTCTGGGAGTTGACCCGCACGGGACGCAGGTCGCCGGATTTGGCACGCGCGGTGGCTACCTGCAATGGCTGACGTCTCCCACCTAGCGCGTAAACTTTCCATCAGGGCCGATCGTCTCGGGTGGCAGTACCGACCCTTTACGGTCAGTTCTTTTTCTGGCTCGATTGACGCCGTGGACGCTGCGGCTTCCGCTGCTTGGCTGCCTTGATAGCCCGCGTAGAAGTCTTGGCCGGGCGCTTTGCTTGGTTTCCTGTTTGCTTGTTTCGGTACTCTTTCAACAAGTCCGGGGCGATTTTGCGAATCTTCCCCGGTGGCTCTAATGACGTGTTCTCCAGCGCATCGAAACCTGTCCACTGCATCCTGTACCGCCCATCCTCTGATTTTTCGACGACCTGCAGAGGCTCGTACTTTTCAGAACTAGGCTCGGGTCGGGGAGTAGCCTTCCATAGCCCGAGAAGCCCCTCAGGGTTGTCGCGATGCACTTCTATCTCGCGGACCAACTCAGTTCCACCGTTCGATCCGACAAGCTTGAGTTCCAGGGACAGGATGCCTGCTTCCAACCACTTGTAGCCTTTGTACTCCCACTTTTGGCCGTTGTAGCGAACCGTCTGCTTTGGAACAGATTTGTCTGATTGTGGTTGCTCGCTTGTGGATGCTCCAGGCTCGCTTGGATCAGCAAGCGTAGTAGCATCGCTCCGGAATGCTGGTTCGCTCGACGATATTCGTTCGTTTGACAGTGCTGATCGGTTCGGCAACGCAGGTTCCTTAGCTTGCGCTGGCTGGTTCGGCAATGCTGCTGCATTCGACGTTGCTTGTTCGTTTAGCGTTCTTGGACCTTGATGGGCTCGAATATCACTGTGTGTGGTTAGCGATTTCGAGTAGGCAGTCAACCATAGGTATCGTACGAGGTTTCGCGCGTCGCAGGTGTGACATCGCTGCTTCCCTGTCCCGGCGCCGGGCTCAACAATTGGGCCAGTGCGATCATTTCTAATGCCAAAAAGCTCGTTATGACGCTATTGAAACGATTGTGGTTGCCAAATTGTGATTCGTAGCAGCGAGCTACGCTGAGCAGGTCGCGCAACATTTGTCATGCCCCATTATTTTGCCTCGACCATCAGCAGAAGCTGGCGCGTTAATCTCGTGCCGGAGCACCCACTCGCACCCAGCCGGTGGGTGGGTGTCTGCGCCTGCAGCGCTTCCATGGCGGTGTACACATCTCCAACCGGTACAAATCAGAAGCGAAGTCCTTTGCCTTCCTCACTTACAGTCTCTCTTTTGAACGCTGATTTTGAACGCTGATAGGTACGGCAATCACTCCTTGCATCTTGTGCTGATTGACACCAGCATACGGTAGTCGAGAAAGCTTGTAGCCCTGAAGTTTATTGACCCACAGATGCTCACCAGGTCTCGCGCCATCTCGTCTCATCCTGAATTACGCCTCGTAGCCCACTACCCGGTAGTGTGCGCCAGACCATGCCCATTTTTGAGTGAGTTTACGATAAACAATGTCGCTGGCCAGCAGGATCACTGCAAAGGTAACGTTGACGACGCTATTACTCCAGAAGACCAGTCCTGTCTGTATACGACCCTCGATACCTGGCTCCAGCTTGTTCAGCGTGGTGAAATAACTATGCAAGACGAAGACCATTGCCGCCGAGAAGAATGCGCAACCGACGACCCGGATGGTAAATCCGGCTGTAGCAAGGCAAACCTGTGACACTTTATACTTGACCACCAGTACACTGTTGAGGCTTGATGATAAGAAGGAACACGCCGCCGCGAGTGTGTCCAGATATTCGATAGTAGAGTATCCAACACAGTCTTCCGTCCCGGCCGTACCGGAGCATCGATATCTGGAACCCAAGGTCGTCCTGACCTGCCCATATACGCCGCCATTATACTGCACGAGAATTAGTACACTGGAAACCGAGATGTCCTGTCTCTGTACCGTCAAGTGGAAGATGCCTGCCCTTTGGCTCTGCTTGCTGGTCAATATGGCAACTGTGACCACCAGTATGGCTACGCTGAGCGCCTGTATCGTAAGATATATGAACCTGAGTCGTCGCTCAGTCTTGGTTGCTATCATGTTGCTCATGAATGAACCGCCATCGACACGCTACGACTGTGACTAAATATAAGCATGATAATAGCCTTTTTCAGCCAATTCTGCCCGATCAGGGTGCTCCCGTGGCCAAATTATGCTTTGCATCGCTCAATAGGCAGCTCCCTGCACGTCCAGACACCCTTCATTGTGCATAGAAAATGGCTTCTATTGCAATGGCTCAGTTTCTTTAGTATTAATACAATTGGTGGTACAGTTGGGTTCAGGTTCAGCGTCCACATGGATCCATAAAACGATGTTGTGGTGGCAGCCAAAATCGGCCTAAACATGACTAAATCTGAATTTTTTTTAGCCTAGAGTGTGGACGCTAAACCTGTTCCTGACTGTACATACAGTACATACCTACCAATTGATTTGCCGCCTGCTTTATCTCGGCTACGGACAGCGTATATCAGAACAATACACTACACCTGGGTCATTGGTCATGATTGCTTCCGGTCTCTGTTTACTGTATGTATAGCAGAGAATAAATTTACGCCGTAGAATACAGTAGTGTTATGATATTTTATTAATATGTACATTGACTCTATGCGTCTGCCTCGGACGACTGCGGTCGTGCTTGCAGCGGCGGGTCGTAGTGAATCAGCGAGAGTGAGGGGACCGTCGGAGGAGCTTGATAAGAGCTTTGGTTCAGCACACACATGGCTTGGTTCTGTGCCACCAGCTGCTGCCGCAGATCCTCTAACCAACATCGCTGAGTCCTCATTTCGCGCTGAAGATATGTAATCACATTTGTGAGGATCTGGTTGTCGCTGCGAAGTTGTTGGGCTTCTGCCTGCAGCCTCTCCAGCTCTTGTCTCCGTTGATCCAGCTGGCCACGTTGGTCTTCGGCGTAGAGACTGACCTGCCGCAGACGCTCGTCGCTTTGTGTCCGCTCATGCTGCAACTGAGTCCGCTCATGCTGCAGTTGGGCGCTACTCTGGGTAATGTAGGCTGCAAATTGCTCACACAGTCGGCCGTGGGCGCTGTCCTCATACTGAAGCGCTTCCATCGTCGGCAGATGGGATGAATGCGAATGAGCGGCGCAATGTCCCCAGACGACCTTTTGTAGCTATCTCAAGACTAATGTAGCGGCAAATTACGGCTTCTCAATGCATCGCCCTCTGCAAGCAAGCAAACATTTGGTACCAGATTCACCCACCTCTGGTTCTTTTTGCAGTGTTCCCGGGTCTGATTTTGAATGTTGGATTCAGGCTCACAATAAACATCTGACAAGCAGAGAGAGAAACAGCAGCGTTGTGGATACGAGCCGACATGTGATAGTCAAGCAGAGTTGTCTTCCGGATACGTGGTGCTATGTATGTGTATCAGTGTCCTTGGGTTTGAATCGAGTCAGAAATTAGTGGCTGCGTAAATGGCAAGGTAGCCGCGATCGAGCGTGCATAAAATTCCATCAATGATACATTCATTCATTGTTTTATTACGCCCGGTGGCTTCCAGCCAATAGGGCTCACGAGCTATTCATAGGTACATTTCTGACCACTCGCCTCATCCCTTCCACTTCATCCCTGTCGTTCTCTGTTCTCTCCACTTCGTCTTTTCATTCCCAGCACCCAACATTCCGCGTGATTTATTATCAATGACTAACTAGCTTGAGGGCTATTCCCCAAGTGTTCGGCGTCCTATCTACAGCAGCCGAAGCGTCGCTAGTCAAGCTCGCCGCGGACGTGGTTTCATGGTCTGATGAAAATCCCTTTTGTACTGATTCGCCTGTCAGTTGTCGAAACGTCCTGTGGCCAGTGTGAACTGTATCGTCGCTCGGATTGCTCCCATCTTTGGTTTCCATTTCGGTCCGTCTGATGCCGATTTTCCCCCTAGTCGGTACGACAAATCGTTCCATCTCGTGCTTGTGCATGCTCGTAACTCTTTTCGCTGTTCATCCCATTGCGGGCACTGTAAAAGAAAATGTTTGACCGTTTCTTTCGCCTGCCCACAAGCGCATTGCTCCGAAGGTACTGCTTTGATACGATGGAGATAACCGTTCAGTTTTGCCATGTCTGTCCTCAGCTGGGCAAGCGTTGAGCGCTGCCTCCATGACCACTCCTCATAAATCTCGCGTGTGTGGCTCCCAGGTAGCGCCACGTCTATTTTCTTGGAGAACCGTCCGACTCCTTCAGGTATGCATCGTTCACTTCTAAGGTTTCTTCGCTCGTTGTTCAACGTCGTACTCTTCATCACTGGGAATGGAACCTCAGGTACAGCGCCCTGCTGCGTAGCCATTTTTGCCTGTCTTTTGGCCGCCTGCAACAGCTTGTTCTTGCTCGGCGAGTCCCATCCTACAGAAACGATGTTTTCTTTCCCAACCAGCTTCTCTACCGAGTCGTAGATGCATGTGATAAATTCTTGTCCCGATTGCTGATAGGGCCTGCTCAATGCTGCCACCACTCCCTTGTTGCGCGAGAAAACTGCAATATTCTGGCGATTGCTGTCGGGAAGTTTCCGTAATGCATATGCTATAGCCGCCAGCTCTCCTGAAAACGGATTCTGCTCTGCTCTCGGCCCAAGCGTGAAAGAGAAGACCTTCTGCTCGAACTGACTGCGTTCCATATTCCTGCTGTGAATGACTCCACCAACTCCCACCATGCCGTTCCTCGCCGAGCTGCTCACCGCAACAGCTAGTGTCCACCCTGCGCATACTTCATCGGCCGGTTTGTCCATCACTGTCTTCAGGCGGGTCCTCCAAGGTTCCACCAGAACCGGGGTGATGGTCTCCATCTGCCAGAGTGGTATGCCTTTCAACCTTTCCGTCACCTGGTGCAAAGGTGATCGAAAGCGCGTATAGAACTTTTTAATCCGTTTCGTAATTCCGCTGAGTGGACTCGTTCCGGGCAGAGTATGTACCTCTATCCACATCTTGATCGCCCGCTTCCAGAACCGCTCCCGCGCGCTCACAATGTGTGCTTCCGCACCATGGTGTAGAAAGACTAAAGAGCACTTTCTTGCTTCACACACCACTAAAGACGTCAGAAGCTGCCACCCCTCTCCTTTTCTTCTTTTACTTTGCACGCCCGGGCTATTAATACTTTACATGCCTGTCTAGTACAGTAAAAACCGAAATGGGTGTCGCGGGTCGCACCTACACAATAATTAT